CCCTGTCCTTTCTCAGCCCTCCTGGAGTCATAGCTGTCTCCACGGTTACCCTCAGCGGGACCAGAACCTCTATCCCTATCACCCCTGGAGCCCTACTGGATGCCTCCCTCCATACCCCTCACCAAAGTAAGTGTGAAAAGAACAGCAAACATTCAACTTTGGGGGGCTTTCTGTCTATGGTGCCGAAGTACCATACTCTGGAGTACTCTTGAACTCTCCACTTTTTCTTCACTCTCCTTATCCCTAACACTAACTATCCTCATTTGACCTTCCCTCAGAGCCAGTCTCTATGCCAGTGGTTGGCACCTACCCTGTATGATTCCAGGGAAAACTAGGAACCAACTCTCCCACCCTCAAACACACATAATACTTTTCATTAATTGTGTGTGTGGTTACTGCCTGAAGCGCTACTAAGAGCTTCTTACCTTTAGCTTCAAAAGATTTGATCCCAACAGAAAAGTCATATGTAAGCTGCTAGCTACCTATATTTTTAGTTAAGCTTTCTTATGTGTCCTTTTTTTCCCTTCAAACTAAGCAACTTGAAGACAAGGACCACATCCTCTATTTCTTAGTGTCTCTTCATCATTTTATCCAGAGCAGGTTTGTTGTCTCATTGATTTATATCATGGTGTGAATAGCAGAGCTGGTTTTCATCATAATACTAGACATTGGTACTGGGGACGGTGGGGGTAAAGGGTATTTGGGGGACCTGTGAGCAAACATTGCTAATTTAACAATATTGGCAAAAGCCCTACCTGTTATGAATTATCAGTCAATGCTAAATGAATGGTCAGTGCTAAAAGCAAAAGGAAAGATTCATTAGGCTGAAATGAAAAGGAACACTCATGTTGGTATGGGACAGAACTGAGGAAAACACAAAAAAGCAAATACTACTGCATAGATTTCCAGAGAAGAGGAAGAGCCTAAACCTTGAGATAACTGACAGCAAATACTTTCAAATGTATTGGGCTAAGATTCTGGAACACTAAGAATTATCTAATTGCTTCCTTCTATATGTAAACATTTGATACAATAGACTCCTAAATAGTGAGGATCACTCTATACACACACGAACATAGAGAGACAGACAGACTGACTGAATTACATTCCAAGTGAATTAAACAGTTTTAGTCTCATGGTTTTCACTCCTGGTAAAAATGCCAACTCACCTACTACAGGAATCAATCTAGTAGCTGCCTGAATGTCTCTGCTGACAGGGAGTTCTCTACTTCACAAAGCAATCTGCTCCACTTACGAATAGTCCTTGCCTTGGTTTTGTTCAATGAGGTCCACAGATAAGTAAATTTTTTTCTAAGTGAAAAAAAGGGAGAGCGCTAAAACAATGAATTCATACTTCCCAAATTTTACAGACACTGGAACCGGCACCAACTCTGCTTCCTTTTTTGCAAAAAGCAAACAGAATTACTCCTGTGCAGCCTGAAGTCTTTTATAATTGTCTAGGAAAGTAAATCTCCTTTCTGCGAGGTTCAGTGGTTTGGAGCCGGGGAGAGGAGGACCCTCTAATCCTTTGGAAATCATCCTCACTGTCTAGAGGCATTTCAGGGCTGGGGGTACTATTTTGCCAACAATAGGAAAATATATACTTAATTTAAAGTAATGACCAGGGTTCTGATTCTTACCAGCGCTACCTTTCCTTGTGACTGGAGGTCACTTAACCTCTCTGGGTCTGTTTCCTTATCCAGAAACAGAAACTTTGACTACATGATTTCCACAGTCCCTTATAAAATAATTCTAAGCTCTCCATCAGCGACACTGAAAAAACCTGTAGCCACAGCATTCTTTTGAACTTCATGGAAGCTGTATGGATTAAATTTTAAATACCTGAACCTATAATGTATTACATCAATCCCTTATCATCCCTGAATTCTAGTAATGCAATGGAAGCAGATATCAAATGTTGAAAGAATATTTGTAGAAAAGATACTTAAATTAAGAAAAACTGTCCAGCAATATTTTTGCCTTCAGAATTGGAAAAAAGATGGACTTTGATTTTAATTTAGCAGAGGAACAACTACATCCAGCTGGCAGGGGGAAGAGGTGATAGTTCAAAAACTTCTGATCCAGATGTCTCTGACTTCCCTTCCTCCGCTGGCCCCACACTAAGTAATATAAGCCTTCCAGAAAGGTGCTCTGAGCTGGGTCTGGCTTTGGGAATGGACTTTGGTCCCTGATTATCCAAGGATCTCATTTACAGTTACCTGAACCACTCTCCAATCCCCAGGTACCTAAGAACTTCCAGGCTCTTCTCTCTCCCAGGGAAGGGACTCAGAAATTGTTTTATCAAGAGGTAAGTCAACCAGACACTTTCTGGCTCTTCACAGAGTCGGGAAACAATGAGACCTCCACTTCACTCCTGACAGATGAGTGCAGAACCGTGAGTACAGTGCCCTTACCAAGCTTCAGTTTCTGCCCATCTCTGATGTCACTGGGAATGCCCACACCACCAAAAGAGCACCCTTTGATACTGTCTACCGAGGTCAGCCAGCCAGCCGATGTTTAGAAAGCAAACTCTTTATTATTAAACATTAACATATCTATCAATACATGAACATTTTGGAACAAAATAATCCTGGCCACTTCTTGAGGGACTGTTGTCAGAAGGAACACTGCCAACTGAACTTGGGGGAAGAAATGGTTCTGTTGAACCAGAACAACTCTTAAGAACCCATGCGCAGAATCATCATCTAGGAGACCCCTCAGCAGGTGCCATACCGCACTTGAGAGGCACTCTGGGAAAGCTAAGGACAGCCACTTACATGACACACCAACTTTCAATGTGTTGGTTCACATACTTTAATTACACCGTGGTCCCGCAAGGAGCCTGCAGCCAGCAAAGAGACCCAGACGGGAAAAGTAAATATGTTTCAAAACAATTGGCCCAACAGGAATTGGACAACCCCTCATTGGACTGGCAAGGGACACGCTTGTTTGCCCTGCCAGTCTGTGACACAAAAATCAAGGCAAGTCGCAGAGAGCAGACACACTCGGCGGGCGAGGCCACCAGCTCTCACAGGCAATCCCCGCAGTGGTTCTCAAACCCGCCGCCGCTCTCGCAAATAATTCGGAGTCTGATAACTCAACTTGCTTCCTGCTCCCAATCCGGCTCCCTCTAACTCTAACGAAGGAGGCACTACAGCCCAGTATGTCGAAACAATTTTTCCCCTGCTCCCAAATTTCTTGCGACGATTAATATACATAATACGCAGGACCCGGCGCTGAGCCGCGCGGGAGAATCTGACACTTCACACATCTGTCAAGATCACCACCAGGCCCCACCTCCGCGATTGCGACATTCACCGATAGGCATCGCAGTTGTAAAATGGACAAGTTCCCCCACCGGCTGCGGAGCCCAGAGCGCGCGCAAAGAAGCTGACTGTAACTTTCTTTTTTGATCGTTCGGTCATTATTATTGGCAGTATGATACAGGCTATATTAATTTTACAAAATGCGTTGGAATCTTAAAGTCTCTTCCCTGCTTCGCCGCCCTTCAAAGACACAGGACTCCACCGCTGCTCCGAGGCCCCCCGGGGCGCAGTCTCAGGGCCCAGGGTGGTCGGGCCAAGGCTCCCTCAGCAGTCTCAGGCCTTAGGGCGCCACAGTGACACAGGAGGGGGAGCTGCGGCCCGGAAGGGGGAGCCGGGCTCAGTCCCCTCCCCCCAGTGATCCGAGAGCGAAGGGCCCGGGCGCCCGGCCAGAACGGGCGCTATTCGCTCCCGTTTATCAAATTCTTATCGGTGCTCCGAGGTGGGAACCGCCGCATTCGACGAGAGGATACGCGGTTTCTGGCTCCGGTCCCGCAGTGGAAGTCGAAACAAGAGCAAATCAACCCAGGCACTGAGCTCTCCGGGCCCCCGGCTCGAGGCCAGTCACCCTCTCCCTTCGCGGCTGGGTTCCCCATCCGCGCACCAGCTCACGACCGCCCGGCAACTGATCTCAGGCCGTTCAGCCCGCCGCACGTTCCACTCCAGTCTCCTGCAACCCAGCCCTGCCAAGCCACCGCCGAGCGCGGTGAAAGCTCTAGCCCACCGGGGCAGCACCAGCGGAGCTGAGATGAGTAGGGGGCCAGGCGGCGAGCCCTTACCCACGTCTGCGAGGCCGCGCCTTGCGCTCTCACCCCCGCTAGCAGGGGAGCGGCCGGGAGGGGGCGGGAGGGTAGCGAGAGTTGGCCAGAGTTGCCTCTCACCCAGTGCCGAGAGGCTCCGGAGGGCAGGCGGGCAGATCGTGGCTGCCCTTCTCTGTCCTCTTGGGAGAGAGACACTCGGAGCTGCTGAGAGCGTCCGGTGTCGCCATCCTTTCCCCGCACACCAAGACACCTGACGCTGCTAGGCAGCCCGGCCCACTACCCACTTTCCCGCGAACTCAAGGTGCGGGATCAAGGAAAGGAGTTTCTCCAAGCTTCAGTGGGGTCTGGAGACCCGGAGTGGGGCCCTTTGCCGCGTCCTGGCCCCTCCGCGGGGGCGCGTCCCAGCGCCGCGCTCCGCCTCCGGCCCCTTGCCAGCTTGGGGCGCAGCGCAGGCACAGCAGCTCATTTGGAAGGACCCAAAGGGTCCCGAGGAAAAGAACGGAGTGGATACTGCCCCGCATGCGAGACGCGAGAAAGTCAAACGCTGACCTGAGTCGAATCAACCCAGAAAGATTTCAACGTTCTGGCCCCGGGAATTTGGTTCGGTGGCCGGGGGGAGGGTTGGAAGGTACAGCCGAAGCACCTCCGACCTCCAGGGCTATCTCCCTCGGCCTCCTGACCTCCCTGCAGGCGCAGATTCCCTATTCGTTCGGGCCACAGAACTCTCCACTGGGAAGCCGCAGCTCCGCGTCCCCAGACGGGGCACCTGCTCTCCCCCTCAAAACCTTCCAAACCGATCCTCAGACCTCAAAGACCTCTTTGCGCTCCTCTCCCAGCCGCACTCGATCGCGTCGGCCCCGCGCAGTCCGACCACCCTCTCGGACCAGCTCCCTTGCCGGCTCGGACGCCCGTTTACCTTTTCTTCTCCTTGTCAGCTGTCATTGTCGCTGTGGCCCTTTGCGACGCCAAGCACCTGGGCTCCACGGCCGGTGGGGGCTGCAGCCGCTGCCTTCGCTGTGGCCCTCGCCCACTCCCTGCGGCCCGGGCCGGTGTTACAGGTCCTAAGTGCTCGCAGGTCCCGAGCGCCCCGCACAGTCAGGTGGAAGTTTGTGGGCGGCTGGCTAGGTGCGGGGGAGGGGGGTGGAGAAAGGTGACCGGGAGGAACCTGCACGAGGAGGCGGGGTCGGGGAAAGGAGTAGGAGGAGGCTGTCAAACGCAGAAAGAAGGCAGCGAGAAGATCGAAGTTCCTTTATCCCTCGAAAAGGAGTCACTTTTCTGGGTAAAGTGGCTCGAACGACGGGAGTTGGAAGAGTCTGGATCCGGGCGGGCGCTGCCGCTGAGATGACCATACAGTCTCAGGACACTGCCGAGGATTGTACGGCCCCCTCAGGAGAGCTGGGGCGAGAGCGAGCCGGACGCCTAAGCTGCGAGCCGGCCGCTCCCGAATGTCCGGCGCGCGGGGCTGCCAACCCACTTTAAAAACTCCGGCCGCCGTCGCGGGGGAGGGCTCGAGGGGCACCG